TATATATATATATATATATATATATATATATGTATGTATCGAAATGTGAAAATATCATACCAATTTTGAATGCATTATGAGGGTTGACATTTAATAAGAAAGTGAATTTGTCATTTGTGTTTTTGATGCGTGTCTCTCCAGTATTACTGAGATGTTGACCACACAAGCGGACCGGTTTTCTGCAGAGGAGGTGAGGCGCGTCTCACATGTGCTCTGATGCTTGATGGTTGCCGTGGATACTGTGTCAGCACCACTGACTGCTGTGTCGTTTCAGATGGAGCAGATGTTCATCGCGTTCCCTCCAGATGCTGCGGGAAACCTGGACTACCAGAATCTGGTCCACATCATCACTCACGGAGAGGAGAAGGACCAGGAGTAGTTCATTCGGCCCTCAGCCAATCACAGCGCTCCCTGTGTGTTTGTACCCGCCCACTTATTTATAATTGACAGGCTTGAAACGGAGCTCAAAGTCAATGTAGTTGCTGAAACGAGAATGGTCAGATTTTTTAACCTGTGATGATGTTGTGTTGATGTTTGCACCTTTGGCATGCAACCTGTCAAAATGTACTTAAATATTGTAATTGGTAAATAAATAAATTTATATGAAATACTGATCTGAGTGCAAATGATTTTCTTGTGTGAAAAGGAAGAGAGACACAAGGAAATAAATTGATGAAAAAAATTAAATTTACTCCATATGTGTTTTTTGTTGTTGAGTATCATATTTGATCATTAGGTTTTATGGCTCATATAATCTGATACAGTGAGAATATGAAGGAAAAAAACAGCTCTATTTTATTCAGACACTCAAAAATATGCGATCTGGTGCTGATATTTATATGATGAAATTCTGATGCTTGTGATGTAAATCAGTGAGATCTTTCTAACAGTACAGCAGATACTGACATAAAATGATCTAAATATCAGTATATCTCCAGTAATATGTCTCAGTAAGATCAGATTGAAATGATCAGAACATATAATGCAATGCAATCCAGTGCTGATTGAGAGATGAAGAAATAAACAATGCAAATACGTGTGCATATGAGGACTGTAGTGTAGAGAGTATGTTTAATATGAAGCCAAACTTGGAACTTTTAGGCGGTTTAGAAATTTATAAACAAGGAAGAGCCATAGTTACAGAGGTTCTTAGTAACAGGAATGATCCATTTCCTGCATAACATCAGTGAATATTATCATTCAGTCAGGCACTGAAGTTTGGCTGTGTTTGTGCGGGTGTTTTCTGTCCCTCAGTGACTCTCAGAACAGGTGGCAGTACTTTTATTTTCTGCTGGGATAAAGTCAAAGCCTGTGCTGTTATTTCTGTCTGCAGCCTGTAATCTAATACAGTCTTAATGCAGCAGCCCGAGACAATGAGCAGCGCTGTCTGATTCATAGAAACCTCCGGGTGTCTGATGTCTGACTATGGCAAGCCGTTTTACCATTTAATCCCTAGTATTTTCATGCTACTAGTACTTATTTTTTATCCACTAGTATATATTCCAGTATATATACTAGTACTTAGCCTATTTGTTGGCACCTAGTGTTTATTCTTTAGGTACTAGTAGCTACCTTTAAAAAAATCCTAGTACTTTTTCATTAGATACTAACTCTTATTTATTAGATACTGGTACCCATTCTTTAGATACTACAAATAGACACTAGTACTTATTTATTAGATAATAGCACTTATTCAATAGAAACTAACACGTTTTACTAGTACCTATTAAATAGACACTAATTATTCATTATATACTATTATTTATTCATTACACTAGTACCTATTAAATAGACCCTAGTACTTATTCATTTGATGCTAGTACGTATTTCAATAGTGATTAGTAAGATTCTGTTGTTACTAGTAACACATTGTGACTAGTACATATTTTTTATATACTAGTAGTTATTCATTAGGTACTAGTTTTTATTATTAGTATTATTTTTAGATACTAGTAGCTATTATTAGATAATTGTACTTAATCATTAGATACTAGTACTTATTATTATATTCTTGTACCCATTAAATAAATAGTATTATTTATTACATACTAGTATTTATTCATTAGATACTCGTACCTATTAAATAGATACTAGAACTTATTCTTTAGATATCAGTACTTATTGATTAGCTACTAGTATCTATTCAATAGATACTAGTACACATTTATTAGCTACTAGTACTTATTCCAAATGTTTCTAGTAAGACTTTTTATTTGGTAACACTTTATTTCGATAGTCCACTTTAGACATTCTATTAACAGTAAGTAACTTTAATGTTCTTTAACTTTAAGCAACTACATGTCAACTAGCAGTTAGTAGAGTATTAGTAGACTGCTTAATATCTTCTAACACTTTCTTTGTCAATTTAGTCTACTAACCCTAAACCTACCCTAACATTGTTGGGTTAGTCCATATTTGACCCAAAGTTGGGTTGAAACAACCCAGCATTTTTTAGAGTGAAGTAAGATTTTTAATTGAACTCTACAGTGGCCATTCTGACTAGTCATAACAGAAGACGAGTAAAAAGCAGTTGTGAGTAGTAAGATGAGAATTGTTATTAGTAACAATTACAAAAGATACTATTGTCTAATAAATAAGTATCTATTGAAATGTAATAGTATTTAATAAATAAGTACTAGTATCTAATGAATACTTACTAGCAATATTTAAAAAGACACTAACACTGTAAAGCTGCTTTGACACAATCTGTATTGTATAAAGCGCTACAAATAAAGGTGACTTGAATTGACTATTGGAATAACTATTAGTTTCTAATAAATAAGAACTAGTATCTGATGAATAAGTACCAGTATATTTGAAAAGTTACTAGTACCTAAACTAAAGAATAAGCACTGGTAGCTAAAGAATAAGCACAAGTAATTAATGAATAAGTACTAGTTCTTCATGTAATAGATACTAGTAGTTAAAAAAAATGGACCCACTTTATATTAAGTGGCCTTAACAACTATGTACGTACATTTAAATTAATCATTTGGTACAATGCACTTATTGTGTACTTACATGATTTTACATTGTACTTATATTTTAAAAATACCTGTATGTAATTACATCTGTAATTAATTTCTGTAATTACATTTATAATTACACAGTTGACCCATCCCTTACACCTTAACCCACCCTTAAACCTACCCATACCAACAAACCTGTCCCTAACCTTACCCATATCCCACCTTAATAGCAGCAAAAGTGTTTTGCAATACAATATGAACACAATAAGTACATTGTACTTAATTTTTGATGTAAGTACACAGTAGTTAAGGCCACTTAATATAAAGTGGGGCCAAAAAATTAAAATAGTACTAGTAGGATGAAAATAGATAGTAGTATGTTTTTTTTATGGATTTAATGTTAAAACGGCTTGCCATACTATGTCTGACGGGATGCTGATCGTCTCTCAGCACCGCTGCTCGGGTCATGACTGCCAAAAATGAAGAGATTGTATTAGTGCTGTTTGCAGTTGTATTAAACAGACACATAAACATGTAACTCAAGAATTCATGCGTCTTACGTGCTCCTCTTCCAGTCATTGTGTCAGCGTTGTAGTGTTAATCCAGGGTCTGGATGGGCTGGTATTGTTGGTAACAGCCTGGAGCCGGCCAGCAGAGGATTATGGGTCAGGAGCTCCTGTGAATATTTATTTAATTTAAAGTAACAAAAATATGTTTTAGTGTTTTAGTTTTCAGTTAACAATAATAGCCCTGGTTCTCATCCACACAGCATATGGACTATTTACAGAAACACTTGTATATTATTAATTTCTTTTTGACAGGTATCTGATTTATATATTGCACTATATTTAACAAATTAAATTTGTTAGTTTTTTTGTACCATGATGGAAGAGTAATTAATTTTCCAGAATGCTCTAATTTAGTCACTATATTATAATCAATATAATCAAACCTGGATTTTAGTATATATTTTTCACTTTGATAAAATTGGTCTGAAAACAATGTGGTGAAATTTGATGGTGCTATACAAGAGATATTCTACATATCAGGGTGTTTTTATGTTTTGTTGCATGACTGTCTGTGTTTAGTTTCTTTGAATTGCAATTCAAATTCACACTCTTGAATAGAAAGGGACTGAATTAATTAAAAGGAAAGTCACTGCACATGACAGACAACAAACACTAGAGGACACCACAGTTCTATTTCTACTGCCAATACTGCTCTGAACATATACATATATCTAACATAATATCTTTTTTTAGTAAAATATATGTATTTTAATCCATCTGCAACGTTTTCTGCAACTTGTTAATTCACTCATAATTATGTGAAAATTATGTGATCAATAAGAAGTAGACATGGACTCTTAATGATGATGAACAGAAAAGGAAATATTGCATATAAAATTATATTAAAGTATGAACTAACTTGTGCAATTCAGTAAATATTCTTACACTACCCTAAATCAATGAAAACGTGCTGTCCCAATCACCCAAATTTTTTTTGGCTCAGTTTACAGAAAAGTGTAAGTCACACATCCTTTCATTATAATATAACTTTGTTTCCTCCTCAAATGGGTAGTTAACATCTTCAGTATTACAGAAATGTATCATGTGTTGGGCTGATGTTTTTAATTTATGGCAAGAAACCTTGCACAAGGCGGAAATTCAAAAACTGTCCACCCTTAATGTTCCCTCAGTCATATAAACTTTCTTCATTACAGCAAAATACTGGGATTTTAAAATAAAAATCACCATAAATTAAATGCATGATGCTTAAATGCTTTTACAAATGAAATAAGTAGCCAATTTCCTTTTTGCATTAAAGTAATGAGGAGCAAGGGAGGTTAGTTGTCATGAAAGTAATCATGTAAAATCATATTTTTAATAAATATTTAATATTAAAAAATGATATAGCTAAAAAAGTCTCCAATTAACATTCAGCGTCACGCATTATTGTGAAATTCAGCCGCGCTCCCTCCCATTTCCTCCGCCCTATTTTTCCTCATTCGTGCAGCTGTGTTGTATTCATCCGCGCGCCGGTCGGTTTCCTGCAGCTGTTGCTGAATGCGTGTATCCTTCCGCAGAGCCGGTGTGCCTCCGCCGCAGCACGCGCATCTGACGGCCCGCTCAAAGCCCAGACTTTAAATCTTCTGTTTAGAGTTTTCTGTGACTACTCTGTTCCTTTTTAATCGAAATAGTTTTATTTGTCGTGTCTGGTGTGTTTTGAGCGGCGCTGTTTGTGTTTTATTCGGCTAGTCATGGCTGACATCGACAAACTCAACATAGACAGCATCATTCAGCGCCTGCTCGAGGGTGAGTTTCAGGAAACGACTAAAATATTCTTATAAGAAAGATAAATAATTTCAAAAGTGTTCTTATTGTCGCATATGGATATGTGTATGACTGATTTATCCGCTATCAAGGTCGTATTTAGATCTGTTTAGCTGAGCTAACACGGTTAGCTGAGCGTTAGCTGCTGACTGACATTAACGGCTGTGTTTCAAATACATAGTGAATGTCCTGTTACCTAGACAACATTCGTGGCGCCTTCAGAACGTTTGAATCGGGATGATTGTGAAACTATGTTCTGAATAGGCAGGATTTTTGGGAACCGTTCGAAACGCGGCGATGATGCCTCAAAATGCAGTCTACTTAGGCAGCTCACTAGGTTTTGAGACACAGCCGGAGCCGTACGCGCGGTTTCTGAGCCTAAAATACACGATATAAAACTGACATTGTGACGTTAAACACAGATTTGACTTATTATAAGGGTCCCATTATCATTAAAACCTGGAAATGACAGAAATTGAAATGTCAAAACTAAGTTTTTTTCTATTTCAGCTCAGATGTAATTGCTCTTTGAGAGTGTAGTTTTTATAAAATTATTTTTTTTGCAGTAATCACAAACATCTTTTGAATAGACTAAAATAATTCCATAACATGACACAATAAACTCATTTAGATTGAGTTTTGTGTTGTATTTTATTTTCCTATTGTAAGCAACTGCAATAAACACCCTGTGATTATATTGTTTTATTGTATACAGTAGTGTAATACAAATTCTTGCTTCAACAAATGTATTTACGTAACTCACTGCTGGTTTCGGTTTTGTGCCATATTTTTTACATGCAAAGCAGTTCATTGCTCATCTTATATTTTAGCTCGATGCTTTGACTTATACAGATGTAATGAGTTCTTCGAAGTGTGTTGTATGTGTATCTGGTTATTTGTCCATCATAGAGGGTCTGGAGGACCTTTACTTCAACACAAGACTGTATTTATATACATTGAAGTCTGTCAAAGAAACATGCCTTTGTCCTCTTAGGATTGTTTCAATGTAGTGTGAAATAGATGTGTGATTGGAAAGGTGTTGTATATTATTTTTATGCGTTGTATTGTGTTTTTGCATTAGTTTTTAACATTGTAAAGTAGAGATACGTCATCATTAGGCACCTAAACATGGATTTTCAGAATTAAGATGCATTAAAGAACAGAGCATGCACACCTTGAATCATTTTCAGAGATGCATTGCTTTTAGAAATAACCTCTGTGATTCATTTATTATGCATCATCATCTAAACTAGGGTGGTGTTCATTCATGTGGTCAGATCACTAATTAAAGGCATTTGAATGTATTGTTTGATAACTGTTATGTTTTTTATGATTAAGGCTTTATGCCTGTAATCTGTCTGGAGACTGTAGAAGTGACAGGAAAGCCATGATGAACCACATTTTATTTTTGCTCTATTTGTGGCTATTGTTGTTGCCATTTGACGTTGTGTTCGAGCCAGTCATATTCTTTCATGTGGGCTACTCTATAAAGCTAACTGTGTTTCTTAGAAGCCTCTCCCTGTTTTTTTCCACCTCGTCAGAGTTCAACCAATTGCACCACCTGCATGTTTATTGCTATACAGCCTAGAAACCAGGCCAGGGTGTGAGGACTGCACCTATATCTGCTCGCCCAGTTTTAGTAGTACGGCTGTTCCCTTGGCAGTCTGCTCCTGTTACATAACCACACTCGGTTTAATGCCGCCCGATGTGTTGCCAAGACCTGCCTCGTAGTTCATGGGTGGAGAATATCAGTCCTTCTCAGATTCATGAATTGAAGTGTTTAGGATACACTTAAAGGAATAGTTTACCCAAAATGAAAATTTATGGGAAAAGGAACCCTCAGGCCATCAAAAATGTAGATGAGTTTGTTTATTCTTTAGATTTGGAGAAATGTAGCTCAGCAATGGATGGTCTTCAGTGAATGGGTGCCGTCAGAATGAGAGTCCAAACAGCTGATAAAAACATCACAATAATCCACAGCACTCCAGTCCATCAGTTAACATCTGGAGAAGACAAAAGCTGAAACAAATCCATCATTAAGACATTTTTAACTCAAGTCCATAATCCATAATAACGCTTCCTCCAACGAAAAAGTGGTCTGGTCTGAATCAGGAGAGAAATCTGCACAGATCAAGCAGCGTTTACAAGCCAAAAACAGCTCTAAAATAATATGTGGCTGGATTTTGATGCGAGAGACAACAGGAGATGCACTTTTTCACTGGAGGAAGAGTTATGGATTACGGACTCGTATTTTGGCCAGAAGCAACGGTTTGAAGTTAAAATGGTCTTGATTGATTTGTTTCTTACAAACACGCAGCTTTTGGCTTCACAAGATGATGGACAGGAGCACTTGTAACGCACTAAAATCGTATATATTTTGCATTAGAGGAGCATTTGTTTTCAATTCAAATCACATTTATTTGTATAGCGCTTTTTACAATACAAATCGTTGCAAAGCAGCTTGACAGAAAATGAAAGTTTCTACATTACATTTAAGAGTAGTTTATCAGTGGTGACTGTCCAGGTGATGTCCGTACGGCAGAAATGTACAGGAAAAATCATGCAGTTAATGACATGTATTCAGAAAACACGTTTCACAGCGATGATTAAATGTTGATATAATGTTTATGAGGCAAAGGCGGAACGAAAGAGCGCAACTCATTTGAAGCGCGTCACTCGGACCGTTTATCCGCTCGGATCAAAGTTTAAACGGCGGCGCGGCGCGAGCTTCACTAAAGCAGATGTTACTTGCTGATGAATCTCAATCAAGCGATGCTGTGAGATCCAGTGTGAAGCGCTTGCATTCAGCAAAAAACACAAATAACTCTGTTTACAGCCGATGATACAGCGCTGACAAACACTGCACAACGATACAGTCAGAAGACTTTTTAATCTACAAATCGCCATCATTTACCATAGAATTACTGTAGTAGCACTAACTGCACCATGGTATTGTGTCAGAAATGTGGGTATTCGTGTTGAATTTATATTATTAATGTAGACATGTTAAATGTATTGAAGGAGGAGTTATGGAATATAATTACAGTATTATTAAGCTATAGCGTTTATGCATTTATACTAAATTTATTTAGACTAGCTACTGTTTTTCATACAAAAACCTAAAAACCATATTACATTTTTATCATGGTATTGAGGTGCTATATTTGTGGTTTTAACTGTGATTATCATGATCTAAATGTATGCTACTATGGAAGACCAGTGGTTAATAAAAAAAAAAAAAAACTCAAACAGTCAGAATAATTACATTTCACCATATAAAAATGAGGTTGCTACAATACTTACAGATGTTACTGATTTTAGGGGTTTTGATAATGTGGAGTCCACATTAAGGTCCACTGAAGTGCCTTGAAATGCGCAGCGTTATTCTATGTGGTGTGTGCTGCCTAATCATTTTCACAAATACATGCCTTAAAATAAAGATAACATGAAAATATGTATATAAAATACCAAAAAACATGGTTATTGGTTACTATAGTTAAACCATGGTAAAAACAACATGTTTTGCTACACTAAACATAGTTTAACCATGGTATTTGTAGTAAAACTGTGGTTATAGGCTACAATTGGTAATAAAAACGCCAAAAAAAAAAACATGGTTAGCCTATTATACTTGTACTATAGTAATACCATTGGTAATTTTCATAAGGGATTGTGTATAATAATATGAAATAAATGTTTTATTAGATTATGACATCACAAAATATCAGGGAGTGAGATTTATTTGATTGCGATGCGAAGGAGGGTTACTGTAAGCCCCATCAGAACTGGGTTGCGGTGCAGGGGGACGGGACTAACGACAGATCATTGCAGTGTATCAGTCATATACATCGTCAGATCAGGTTTTTTAACTTATTAGAGGTACAGAATGCCACACAGCAACTTTTCGGCATTGCACCAAGCAAAAATCAATCGAAATGATCACAAAAAGTAAAGATCAAGCGCCTAACAAGGTCTCCGCGCGTTAATTCGAATGGTTTGTTTTCCCCCACGGCATAAACGGTTATGACGTTTTTGTGGGCGTTCCCAGCAATGCCGAACAAGTCAATATCGCAAACGAGAAGATATCGCCCATCTCTAACTTCAAGTATAGTCATGTATATCGAATAAAGCAAATGAAGAAACTCTGAAAGGTTTCATTGCACAAGCAGAACTTTTAAAGATGCTTTTCCACACTATTCAGCTGTTGTTTAACATTGTGTAACTTCATACAGTATGTGAGCTCATGACGGTGTAGTTAGGAATGTGTGTCTCGTTCCAGGGAGTTTCAGATGGTGAATGACATGGCAGTGACTTCACCCGCATATAGCCGAGACACGTTCCTCACAGCATTTTAACTTGTGCTTGCGACATCTTTTGACTTCATTCACAGTAAAGCTCCAAACTCAAACCCCGATAGCTTTGCTCCACGTTTTGCGTGTTGTAATCATTCAGAAGTGTTTCGGGCGGATCTCCCGCCGCTGTCAGCTGTGTTGTCTATGTAGTGGAAGTGCTGCGAGAAACAGTTGGTTTGAGTAGCATTGACTCACAGTATGCATACTAGCACAGTCACAGCCTGAAACCTCGTGATGTGGCCGGGGAAGCTGCTTTCAAGCTTTTTAAGGGAGCAGTTTGTTTTTTGTTACATAAGTAGCAGATTATATAATTTAGCATTTCAGAGCAGCGTTTGAGTGTCACAAAAACAATGAGGATTTCAATTAAGGTGACGGCAATATACTTGAAAACAAAAGACCGCACCAAAGAAAACACCCTATTTTATATCTGCATCCAAAACATAGTGACGTCTATCGGTATTTAAAGGGACGGTGCACTTTTTGACGTCTTGACTCTGTTGCGTTTTCTGTCAGCACCCATGCAACTTTTGGAGTAAATGTTGACAGTTTTCATTATTGGATGAAGGATTCCTTTAAGAAAGTTCAGCTAATGGTGATGAAGCGACTTGACATCTCGTTGAATAGCTTCACTGAGCACTCATTGAAAGAGCCCTTTGCTCATTGTTGTGGCTGCTGTTATAAGTCTTACAGCCCTGTTGTGTGGAGTGTTTCAGCCAGTCCTCGCTCTCTCGCTTTACTCTGTTAGAGTTTGTTGGCATGTAATGAGATTATGCAGACAGCCAGTGCAAACTCGTTTGCTGTAAATGACTCATTTATTCCACTTTTACACCCGTGCGCGTATCTATGTATTTAATCATAACTAAGTGTTTTATTTTATATTATTGTTTTTATATATAATTCATATATACTGTATATTTATTTTTTTAGAATTATTTTGTTGTTACTTAAATTGTTAATAATATTCCTATTAAATAATATATATTTATATAAAATAATATAATACATTTAATCTTTTTAGTGTTTTATTAATTCATATGTACAGTATATTTATTTTTTTAGAATTATTTTGTTGTTACTTAAATTGTTAATAATATTCATATTAAATAATATATATTTATATAAAAATAATATAATACATTTAATCTTAGTGTTTTATTTTTTGTTGTTTTTATTATTAATATTAATATTAAATATTAAATAATATATACATTCAGTGTTTTTATTGTTATTTTAATTATTTATTACTTTAAACATGTATTATTAATATTATTCATAACAAATCATATATTATTTATATGTAAGTCATGATATTTTTAATTCTTTTTGTGCTTTATTTTCGTTGTTTTTATTTTAAAATTATTAATATTCAGATTAAATAATATATAATATTTTTGTCTTATCTTTATATATAATTCACATGTAGTATACATTTAATATTTTACAAAGTGTTTTATTTTTATTGTTTTTATTTTAAAAAGATTTGTTATAATTTTTAATTTTATGCTTTAATTTTCATTTCATTTGAACTTTTCAATATCTCGTGAACCCCAGTTTGGGAAACCCTACTGTATGTAAATGTAAACCACCACAATCTTACATCCTGGTAATTATGTTGTTTTTATATCACAGAAGCTGTATATATCGCAACATATTAATGCTATTTTAGTTGGTAAAAAAATGATTTATATATTAAATAACCGTTTCAAATGTCTGTATTTGGATCATCCAGTTAAATAGTCCTCCCACCCGGCCCTAACTCTCAGTAACCAGCAAAACAAGCTTCAGTCCAGAGCTGCAGAACTGTGTGCCAGTTGCTCCAAACACGGGGTAAAAATAGAAATGCTGGGCAGTAACAGGCCGTCGTGGTGCACAGGCCAGCCTTTATTCTCTGGAGTTCCAGCGCAATAAAAACGAGATCGATGTGAAAACTCTGAACATTGCGAGCAGGCAGACGTTGGAAGCGGGGAGGAATGGGACTGCTGGATGATCCGTGTGCTTTCGGGAGAGGCTGCTTTGCACATTAGGGATGAATCCTGTAGGTCACTTTGATCCTCTGCAAGTAGGGCACATCTGCAGACAGGAATACGAACCTAACCTACTTCCCTTCCCTGTGCTGACGGATCACAGAAAGTCCATTAGAAACGCCACGTTTATCTGCATAATGCCACAGTTTTCACTGAAAGCTCAAGTCCTGTTTGTCCAAAATAACCGCAGGGTCTGGATTCGCAACTCTGAAACGATTGCTCAACTAACCAGATAATTACATGAACGATGACGTCTGATGGTGATTGAAGTGTTGGCTTCGATTGATAAATTGTCCACATCTTTGTTTTATCTTCCAGCTGTAGGCAGAACTTTGCAGCAGGATTATTACTAAAAACTAAAGTTTTAAAATATTAGATTAATATTAGAAAAATATTACATAAAAAAATCATTTTTGGTACTTATGCCTTCATTTGATTACCTTAAAAAAAAAAAAGTATATATTTTTGTATTTATTAATTTGTATTAAAACATAAATCCAGAAAAATTATGAAACACAGAATTGTAAACTATTATTGTAAACTGTTTAATTAAATTATTAAAGTTTTATGAATTCAGTTGATTAGACACGCTTTTTGATTATTGCAGTTTAAATAAACCATTAAATAGGAATTAAGAAAAATTAAAACGCAAAACAGATTTTGAACACAGAAAACTGATTTCATAGGGCCCTAAAAATGTAAGTTTTGTTGAGCTTTTAATTTAAATTGCCTAAGTTCCATGATTTCAGTGAATGCTTTTTGATTTACTCAAATGTAAATAAAAATGTAAAAAAAAAAAAAAAAACACAATTTGAAAAAACCAAAAATTGGGGGATTTTTTTCAAATTACTTGAAATAAAAGAAGTTAACCAAAATAAAAATATATATATATATAAAAAAAAAAAAAACTTATTTCAGTTAGTTACCAAGACAACATTTCCCATTTTTATTTAGTTTAAGCTGAAGTGCTAAAATATATAATAAACGAATAAATGAAACTAAAACTGAAATTGATATGAAAAAAAAAAAGTCATAAAAATGACTAAATTAATATATAACAAAATAAAAATGAAAATGGAAAAAATTTAAATATATAGGCTAATAAAATATATAATAGGAACTATAATAGTACATCAGTGATACTATAATAACTCTGCTTTGTCTTTATAAACATCAAGTGTCATAAACATTATCACAGTTGCATAACTGTCATTTGTTTATTGCTCTCTTATGCATTTTCCCATGGGACTGGTCAAAGAGCCGAAGCGGTGCTTTGGTTAACTGCTTGTTTGTGCGTTTGCAGTGAGAGGGTCGAAGCCTGGCAAGAACGTTCAGCTGCAGGAGAACGAGATCCGTGGATTGTGTCTGAAATCCCGCGAGATCTTCCTCAGCCAGCCCATCCTCCTGGAGCTGGAAGCACCGCTGAAGGTCTGCGGTGAGTAACACAAACCTGCTCCTGCTACGTTTCAGCTCGCTGTTGAATCTTAGTTAAAGCACGCCGCAGATGTACGGTGTTAAATGTGACCCTGGAGCACAAAACCAGTCTTAAGTGTCAATTTTCGAAATTGAGATTTATACACCAATATAAATAAGCTTTCCATTGACGTATAGTTTGTATAGAACAATATTTAGCTGAGATACAACTATTTGAAAATCTGGAATCTGAGTGTGCAAAAAAATCAAAATATTGAGAAAATCATCTTTAAAGTTGTCCAAATTAAGTTCTTAGCAATGCATATTACTAATCAAAAATTAAGTTTTGATATATTTACGGTAGGAAATTTACAAAATGAGATACAACTATTTGAAATCTGGAATCTGAGGGTGCAAAAATATCAAAATATTGAGAAAATCGCCTTTAATGTTGTCCAAATGAAGTTCTTAGCAATGTATATTACTAATCAAAAATTAAGTTTTTATATATTTACGGTAGGAAATTTACAAAATATCTTCATGGAACATGATCTTTACTTAATATCCTAATGATTTTTGGCATAAAAGAAAAATAGATAATTTTGACCCATACAATGTATTTTTGGCTATTGCTACAAATATACCCCAGCGACTTAAGACTGCTTTTGTGCTCCAGGGCCACGAATATGGAATAGCAGAATCTCTACTACTGTCAGATGTCTTTCAGAGTTGGTTTAGCCTGTCATGTTCAGCGAATGAGACGCTCTCCTCTCCACAGGCGATATCCACGGGCAGTACTACGACCTGCTCAGGCTCTTCGAGTACGGAGGATACCCACCTGAGAGCAACTACCTGTTCCTGGGAGACTATGTGGACCGAGGGAAGCAGTCTCTGGAGACCATCTGTCTCCTGCTGGCCTACAAGATCAAATACCCTGAGAACTTCTTCCTGTTGAGGGGAAACCACGAGTGTGCCTCCATCAACCGCATCTACGGCTTCTACGATGAGTGTGAGTGTCCAATGGAGACTGGGCCATGATTTCCGTGATGCGGAAGATGCATTATAATTATAATAATATTTTTTTGTCTTAGCAACCGCATAGCAACACCCTAGCAACCACCCCAAGTACCCTAGCAACCGCATAGCAACACCTTAGCAACCAACCCTGGTACCCTAGCAACTGCATAGCAACTGCATAGCAACCACCCCGGGTACCTTAGCAACCGCATAGCAACACCATAGAAACCACATAGACACACCATAGAATCTATTAATCTACATCTAAAATTTATAATCTATCTATCTATCTATCTTTCTTTCTGATAAATTGCATTGTCTTCAAAACTTTAAAACTACTTTAAACTTCAAACTAGTTAAAACTGAAAACCTTCAAACGTAAAGCTTTTAAAACTACTTCAAACTTTTTAGCTAGGCTTTTTCAAGCCAACTTAAAGTTTGTCTGCAAACTTTACTATCTAGTTTAAGGAATATCACTCAATTCTATTGATTCTATTTTTACAGTAAACCTCATATGTGCAGCACTTTGCCAAAAAATTAGAGGAGTTGTTAAATTTTCACTTGATAACTTTTTAAAAGATTAATTAAGTTGTTAATGTTTTATGCCTTTATTTGATTACAACCGCTTTTTTATGAATTAATTTGCATTAAATCATAAATCCACAAAAACCGACAGCACAGAATTTCTGAAAAAACAACAAAAAATTATTGTAAACATTTTAATAAATTATTAAATTGTTAACCTTTTATGAATTCAATTGATTAGACATGCTTTTTTTGATTATTACTATTTAATTATACCATTAAAATGGAATCCAGAAGTATTTTATTTTAACGGAATACACAGAATTTGAGGAAAATAAAACAGATTTCATAGGGTCCTAAAAATATTAATTATTAAATTGTTGTAAAAATGTGCAAGTTTCATGACTTCAATCAGAAGTTTCATTATAGTTACCTAAACGAAAACCATTGAACAGTTTTTGTTACTTGAAATAAAATAGCTTAACTGAAATAAAATATTTAAAATATTATTTTATCATTTAGTTTATCTTGGTGTTCTAAAATAACTAAAACTGAAATAAAAATGAATGAAAACTATATAGACATAAAAAAAACGAATAAACTATTAAAAATGACAAAAACATGCAATGAAATTACTAAAACGGTAATTAAAATTAAAATAAAAACAACTTTAAATATTATTAAAATTATAATAGTATCTCAATGATACTAAAATAACCCTGATTTCAAAAAGTTAGTTATTATATATGTTTTTGATTGCTATAATTAGAACAGAATTTAAACCTAAAAAAAGGAATTTCTGGGAAAGAAAAAAAATAAAAAAAATAAAATGGATTTCATAGTGCTCTACATGATGTATAAATACACACAAACACACAATTTAAATAATAATATTACTTTTTGCATTAGCAGAACCAGATTAAGGAATTGCTTTTGAGGTCATTTGCTAATAAAGATGTCAGTAGACCTTTTTTTTTTTTTTTAAATTGAAAAACAACACGATTCTGTTTAAGGTGTATTTTGTAATCACTAATCCTGCTAGAACACTGGGCCGTCATGGATGTTCATGTTAATATAATCCGCAAATGCATGTCCAGATTTGACTGTGTTTAGCCGTGTTTTAAACTCTTATAAGAGCAAAACGTGCACTTTAAGCAGAACTCTGTGACTCTCATTCAGTGCAGAATGAATTATTGAGCACCGTTGAGAGTGAAGGGAACCGGAGTGTATTTTTAGCAGAGTCTCTCCCTCTAGAACTCTTTTTATTCACTTACATTTGAACTACTGTTAAATAATAAATCCTGAAGGTGAGCTTAAGCTCATGCTTGTGTGTTTAGGCAGGAGACGCTACAACATCAAGCTCTGGAAGACGTTCACGGACTGCTTCAACTGTCTGCCCATCGCCGCCATCGTGGATGAGAAGATCTTCTGCTGTCATGGAGGTGTGTGTGCTGCTGTAGCCTTCTAGATAACCAGAGAGACTTTCACCTGCTAAACAACAAGCGCCGGCTCTTCTGCTACGTGGAATATCGTGAATCTGAGTTTTTATGGTATCCATTAAAGTTCACACTTTTTACAAGGGCATCTTTGTTAGGCATTTTTCAAAACATTGTACGTGTGACTGTGCAAGTCCAAGTCACATCACCGGTCTTTTGTCACGAGTCCAAGTTAAATCTCAAATCCGTTTGTTAATCTTTTTCTGTATGCAGCAGGTTCGTTTTATAAACACTGTTGCTGGACATTTAGTTTTTGCATTATTTTATTAAATAAGTGACAAGTTGCTGGACATTTACTTATATAATATATTTTAAAAAATATATTCAATTAAATATACACTACTGTTCAAAAGTCTAGTTTGGTAAATTTTTATAAAAATGTTTTTGAAAGAAGTCTCTTCTGCTCATCAAGGATGCATTTATTTGATCAAAAATACAGTAAAAATTATAAAATATTATTATAATTTAAAACAGCTGTTTTCTATGTGAATATCGGTTACACTGTAATTTATTTCTGTGATGCGCAGCTGAATTTTCAGCATCATTACTCCAGTCTTCAGTGTCACATGATCTTCAGAAATCATTCTAATATGCTGATTTGCTGCTCGAGAAACATTTCTGATTATCATCAATGTTGAAAACAGTTGTGCTGCACAATATTTTTGTGGAAACTGTGACGCATTTTATTTTTCAGGATTCACAGATGAATATAAAGTTAAAAAGAACAGCATTTATTTAAAATGGAAATCTTTTCTTAACAATATAAGTCTTTATTATCACTTTTTATCAATTTAACACATCCTTGCTGAAAAA